ATAGATAGATTTTCTCCATGATGATCTGCCCTCAGTCTGGCCCTTCAGGTCTTTCAACGGTGCTCCCAACACCGCGACAGCTGAGTCCATCCCCTTTGCTGCTGGTTGTCTCTCTACTCTGTTTATTGTGCTAAATAATACTATCACAAGTTATATTATTATTAATCATTATTAGAATTGTTAATAACTAATAATTATATCATTATAATTATTATATAATAAATTATACTGGTCGTCTCTGTGCTCTGTTCATTATACTAGAGTGAGTCTCACATATATTATTTATGTATTTACGGCCACACGGCATGTCACTCTTGTTGGGTGCAAATGTGGTTTTCAGCCCAGCCCTTTAACCCAATGAAAGACTGGACTCGAGAAACTCAGTTACTCATTTATGAAGGCACCTTAGTAATTGAGGACGCCTTCTCAAGAAGAGAGCCCCGAAAAGAGAAAGCATAAATCTTTTATACCTTTTCAACAACAGCATCAGAATCAGAGGTTACATGATGGGTCACATAGTTGAGCATGCGTTCTTAACAGCTAACATCCCATAATCAAAACACCTTTTCAAACCATATGTGTCTGTGTCCATGACAACTGCTGATTTCTGTATCTGGATGCTTAGTGGTTTTAGAACATCTTTATTTTATGCTTTATCTGAATGTACCTCTACATCTCTGTCCTGTTCTTCTGCTAACTAACTTCACACCTGATCAATATCTTCCTCTTCCAACTCTTTTGCAAACTTAACCACAGAGCTTGTTGGCATGTTCTTGTTGAGGGGTGCAAGTTCAATAGTTTATGACCCCAGTCGGACTCTAACTCTATCAATGAACTCCAATTTTGCTGCCATCACTCTGCTCCAAGCATAACTCTGCTTGTGTATATAATATATGAGAGGACGATATAAATATAATATTAAATCATACGCATCTTTATATGTGCATGTGTAAGAGTAGGGGTGCATTTAACTACTTTTGTGTGTGTGTGTGTTTGATGATTGATTGATTGATTGATTATGGGCCATCAAGTCCTTTTCAACTCCTAGCAACCACATAGATAGATTTTCTTCATAATGATCTGTTCTTAATCTGGTCTTTCAGTTCTTCCACTGGTGCCCCCATTGCCACTGAAACTGAGTCCGCCCACCTTGCTGCTGGTCTCCTCTCCTTCTCTTTCCTTCCACCTTTCCCAGCATCAGAGTCTTCTCCAGAGAGCTGGGTCTTCTCATCATATGTCTGAAGCAGGATAATTTGAGCCTGGTCCTTTGTGGCTTGAGTGAGAGTTCTGGAGTGGTTGGTTAGATGATCTATGTGTTTATTTTCTTGGCTGTCCGCAGTATTCTCAGGAGTCTTCTCCAACAGCAGAGTTGAAAAGTGTCAATACTCTTCCTATTCTGCTACTTCAAAGAAGACCCAGCTCTCTGAAAAAGGTCTGTGGTTGCTAGGAGTTGAAAATGACTTGATGGCACGTAATCAATCAATCAATCCCCCAACAATCAAACTCACACAAAAAGGAGAAAGTAGATAGATAAATGCACACCCCTATTCTTACACATGCACATATATAGGTTGCACATGATTTAATATTATATTTATATAGTCCTCTAGCAGAGCCGTGCTTACAGCAGAGCGACATGCCGTGTGGCCGTAAATAAAAAATGTGTGTGAGACTCGCCTTATTTAGTATAATAGAGTATATATACATGGAGAGAGAGAGAGAGACAGAGTACGTGCACAAGGGCTTTCTGCAATTGTCAAGGAATAGAAACTGACAACATCTTCTGTTCCTGTCTCTGAAGATCTAGGAGAACATGCGGTCTTGGCTGTGGAATAAAAGAGTATTAATTGAACCTAGAACGTTGGGAAGAAGATGGCCAAAGATTGCTGGTGGCAAAGCCAGGGGCGGCATGGAAATGTTCAAGGGTCAGCCTTGGACCATCCCAGGCTCCAAGGGTTGTATCTGATTTCCTGAAAAGCTAGTCCTCAGATGCAACTTCCTTTGTCGCTCAAATGAACGGCTGCTGACTAGGATAGCCTATTATCACTCAGTCATGCATTTCCTGGGAACAGGGAATAGATCATTGTTTTGACAAGCCTGTATTTTAGCTTGCCAACCTTCAGCACTGTATTCTGTAAGCCAGTGTTTCTCAACCTCAGCAACTTTAAGATGAGTGGACTTCAACTCCCAGAATTCCCATGCTGGCTGGGGAATTCTGGGAGTTGAAGGCTCTTACCTTCTGTATGATTGATTCTGAATGCTTGGAGCATTGTTTCTCAACCTCAGCAACTTTAAGATGAGTGGACTTAAACTCCCAGAATTCCCATGCTGGCTGGGGAATTCTGGGAGTTGAAGTCTATTCATCTTAAAGTTACTGAGGTTGAGAAACACTGCTCCAAGCATTCAGAATCAATCATACAGAAGGTAAGAGCCTTGAGTATGGGTAACAAAGTAGGGTCAAATAGTCTCCTTAACCTTCCTTAAAGGAAATTATCTCTTTTGTCCAACAAATAATTCAGTTAAAAGCCCTGTTGGGCTCCTCAAGGAATAACTCCTCCCTTGAAGGCTTTAGATAGGAAAGATTTAGCTCTCCCTCGGTCCTCCTACCCCCCCCCCATAATAGTTAAAGTATAGTAGTAGAATTGGACCTTTGTGGTTGAGAAACAAGGAGAAATTTGTTTGGGAATAAAAGAGAGAGGGATCTGTAGTTTCCATGTTCTACTGCAGTGTTTCTCAACCTTAGCCACTTGAAGGATTGTGGTGTTCTAATCTCCCAAAATTCCCACCAAACTTTCCCCCCCGG